TTTTTTTTTTGAGAGGTTTTCGCTATAGGGCGTGTGCGCTCGCCAGACAGACAGAGAGAGACAGAGAGACAGAAAGCGAGAAATCACCCCCCAGGGGGGATGGCCACGCCGCAATCCCTTCTCCTCCATTCTTCTCTCGGGATCTTGGGCATGCACGCACACGAGCCTGGCGTGAGTTTAAGCCACCAGGTCCGGGACGCAAACCGCGGTCGACTACATGGGAGTCTAGCGACATAGCCATTACGCTAACTGCTGGTTCCTCTTAGACATTCTTGATGAGAAGGGCACCTTCAAAGTTCCACAGATACCTTGGGCATTTTTCTTTCTTTTTTAAAGGATCAATCCTTGGCTATTTGTCTCTTACCTTAGGCTTTGCTGGAGGGAAAGCAGCATCTGAGGCAACCTTGGGCACCCTTGGCATGGTGGAGAGAGAGGCCCTAAACCTGGTCTGGCTGCTCCAGTAGGAGGGGATATGCCCTAGTGGGGAATTCACTGGGATCACAGGAAGATTTCTATCTAAAAGGAGGGAAAAGGGGATGGGGGAGCTGCCTAATCTTCCTGCAGATGGCTGACTCACCAAGAGATAACACTGAACAACCCAGACATTGTAAAAGACCACCTAGAATCCCATCTTAAGACTATTACCTTGATCATCCCATCCTAAATCCCTTTCCTTTAAAAGTCCCTAGACCCTGCCTTCTACGGCCGATGCAACACTTTGAATCTGGTCCCTTTCCCCCCTAATTCTTTCATAGTCCATGACACAGATCACCCTGATAGCACTTCTTGTACTTATTTGTTTAATTAATCCTAGCTATTCTAACTAGTGTTAAATGGTATCTCACTGTGGTTTTAATTTGCATGAAATGTCCTTCTTTATCTCTGGCAATATTCTTTGTTCTGATGTCTACTTTGTCTTACTGAATCATGTGACCATGACTCCAATCGGTTTTAGAAATCGAGGCCAGGTCCAGCCACAGTGTACAGGCAGAAGGTGCACAGGTGTATAATGCTGGAGGCTTTATGGGAAGGCTCTGGTTTACATCCTAGAACTAGCCATGAATGTGCCTATTATCCTGGTTGGCTACAGAGCTGGGTAGAAGATCATGGTGTGATGATTCTGTTGAGAGAGAGAGTGTATGTCTCTGTCTGTCATGAAGGAAATAAATTGACTTAAAAAAAAAACAAAACAGGGACCAGCAGTTGGTGTAATGGCTGTTGCTGGACTTCCATGTGGTTGACCACGGTTCGAGTTCTGGATCTGGTGGCCCAAACTCATAGTGGGTGCGTGTGCGTGCATGCCCAAGATCCCGAGAGGAGAATGGAGGAGAAGGATTGCAGGATGGTCACCCCCCCTAGGGGGGTGATTTCTCACTTTCTGGTGAGGACACATGTCCTATAGCAAAAATCTCTCCAAAACAAAAACAGACCAACCAGGCCCCAACCACAGTGGCACAACTAAGAGGATGCCACTGTGCAATAGCTAAGGCTGCATGGGAGGCCCTGATTCAGTTTCTGGCCAACCTAGAAACAAACAAAAAATGGGCCTGGTGTAGTAAGTAACCAATGCCAATGGCCCTAGGTAACTAGAAGGCTGGGGCAGGAGGATCGTGGTAAAACCTTATTGAAGAAAAACCTCTCTCTTGCTCTCCCTTGTGTGAATACTCAAAAACTCTCTCATAAAAAAGAAAGAAAGAAAGAAAGAAAGAAAGAAAGAAAGAAAGAAAGAAAGAAAGGCCAGCCAGGTGGTATGGTGGTTAAGGCAGCTGGATCCCAAATGGCCTACTGCACAGTTTGAGTCTCAGACCCAGTGGCTTATAACCTATAGCAAGAAAAGAAAAGAAAAAATCTAAATTTCTTCTTCCTCTGCCTAATAACCTCTATACATTACAGAATTTCTGCCTAGAAGTAGAAACCACCCTAGTGTACTGCTGAGGAGGATTAAGAGTGAGCTTTGTCATTTCTTACTACATATTCTAAAGAAAGGCAGCTGACTACAGAACAGGGACTTCTATGCTGCCTCCCACCCCACCCCAAGATACTCCATCAGCAGTCATTACAGAATGAGAGAGATGAGTTTATCTAAAGGTTAAAAACAGCGTTTCTATCAAGGGTCACTCCTGAAGTCATTATAATAGCCTAGTTTGGTTACAAATGTGCAACAAAAAGGAAGAGGTCTCATCCACTAAGTACTAGCTCCCGCCCTGAAGTTGGAGAACAGAGTAGTTACAGATGAATAAAATCCTTCACAGCACAGGTACACAGCACTTAATGTCCCCGTGTCCGAGGGACTGAGGTCAGATGCTGGACCTCTGAGGTCCAGATTTCTACAGCCTTATCCAGACAGGCAGACAGGAAAGGTGGGTCCTGTGAACCCTCGACATAAGGGCAGCCTCCACAAGCAAGCCCAGCATCAAGGGAGAGTGGCCAAAATGCTGTAGCCTTTCTCCAACAGCTTCCTGGCTGAGCCGCCAGGTTGCTACATTCAAGTACTCAGGGAGTGGGTGACCCTCTAAGGGACAGTCACTGCTGCCAAACATTCACATACATTGTAGCATTTTTCCTGAGAACAGAAGGAAAACATTGCCCCAAAACATACCATGTACCCAAATTCAATGGATGAAATCTTGGCCTGTACAATGGACCAAAGTCCCCAGAAGAAATGGGATGCAAGGGCAAACCTGTAATTGCAAAAACAAGAAACACGCATGAGGTGTACAGCCTTGGTCACAGGATTGTTGAAGAAGTTTCACCCTCCATGGACATTTTAACCATCTGGATACAAACTGCTTGGCCTATTCATGGGACTGTATTCTACAGAGACGTAGAACAGCGGGGCTACCATCCCCTTTCCACCTCTGGCCAGTGACAGGTGGACTCGTGGGTATACACACATCCAGCTGCCTGCCAGGGCAAGCATAAGGACATTCACAGGACTTAAGTAAGTGAAAGCCCTGGTGACCGTACTTGTAGAGAAAGAAACAATCTTTGCTACATGTGCAAGTGTACAGCATCAGCAACCAAAAAGCAGGCCTCTAAATCACTGCAGCTTTCCTCAGGAGGCAGGATGACGCTCTCACTCCCTCAGTAATTAAATTTTCAAATTCCAACCTCATCCTACCCAGCTCTCTCACAGAAGTGAAGCAAAATAGAGTGTGAACCATGGTACCACCTCTGGTTGTGCCAAGTCCCCTGTCACTGTGAATCCAGTTGTTATTCATCCAGTTCTCGGGATTTAACCACATAAAGACAAAGTTACACTTCAGGAGTGCCTGCTTCAATGCCCTCCACCCCCAGTCTCACTCTGGTTTCTTGTAGTCCCTGGAGCCTGCTAGATTCCCTGGTACTCCTCTTTCTGTCTAGGTCCTCTCCCGCCTCTCCTATTTTACTTCCACCCACTCAGGAAACAGAAAGGGAAGCTCCATACTGCCGATGGAGACTGGGGGTGGGCTTGGGTGGTAGCACGCTTAGTGAGAGCACTCTGAAGACCACAATGAGATAACTTGTGGCAAGTGGGGTGGACAGAAGAAAGTTGCTTCAATGACCAAGTAACATTGCAGGAGAGACCCCAAACTATGGGAGTAACCCACAGACCCCTTGACTAAAGAGATGTGTGTTAAGAGTTATTTAGATCTTTACAGAATTGAGAAGTTTTAGGCCCCACTTTGGGAGCTGTTGAGAAATCAGTGAAAAACAAAACTTAGAACCATCCTGCATGAGTTTTAATAATTTCCTAGGAGGAACTTAGAGAGTCCTGATATATTAAGAGGTGCCTACCACTCCTCGAGGATCATGGAAAGAAGGTGCAGGCCAGGGCACAGTGGCCTCACATGGCAGTGTCTGTTTAGATAACAGTTATTCTAGCTTTGACAAAGCACAAGTTCTAGAGATGTACAGTTATAAAGGAGCTCCTAAACTATTCTTAATTGCAAGTAACCATCCCAAATACTCTATAAAGAATTCTTACAAATTGTAAAAAAGAAGATACCTATTGATTTCAAGCAACATTTCTTCTTCTATGATGGATTTTTCTTCACTACTGAGGTTTTCAAAGTCATTTCGGAATGCAGACAAGTAACTGGAAATAAAATGGAGCTTAAAAGAAAAAAGTAACCATGTTAGGATCAATGACTTAAAACAGACAATGACAACAGTTGTCATAAGGCACATACATCTGCTGTGATTCCAGTCATCCCTGACAAAGCCGGGCAGAACCGGCCACTGTGGCTATGCCAAGAAACAGGAATTCGTGAAGCTCTCGTAGCCTGGCAGTAATCACCACTGAATGTTCTCCACAGCACAACTCACAGTAGCAGTTCTACTGCACTTGGTGCAGTGTTATCAGAAAGACAGAAGAAACTGTTATTTCTGGAGAATGTGATTTAGGTCATATTTTTTCCTAGTAAAATCTATACTTAAGTTTCACTGACTGATCTCAAAGCAGGGTATGCCTGCCTCAAAACCTTCCCCAACCTGGCTGCTATACATCTGGCAGACATGGATCTCTGGGTACTCTGATGTTTGGGGCGGATGTAGATGGTCCCTGAGAGCAGGTGCTGGGCCAGCCTACCGACTCTAAGAGGCCATGATTATTTACACACTTGTGTTAATACATTGGCAATATTTAATTCTGGTTTGGAGAAGAAACTGTTTACCCTAGGGTTCTACCAAGTTCTACCTTTAATGTATCTATATATGAATTAGATTCCTTGTTCTTAAACTTGTCTACTCTGTATCAAAAGGCAACAGAATAATTAAATCACATTTTTCGTTCTTTCCTAAATAAGAAACTAGATGTCCAGCTCTTTTTTTTCTAAGAACCCTCATTAATTACCCAGCTGGAACACCAGCAGTTCTCAATATCCCTGCTTCCATCTTCCTTCATATGCTATTCTGCTTCCATCACGGGGAAACATCATCCAGTTCAAGCACCATCCTAGGCAGGGGGTCTAGAAGGGGTCTCATGTTCTTTCTTTTTTTTTAAATGACCACCTCAAATCCAGTTCTTTTCCTTTTTTTAGAATTATTTGTTTAATTTTATTTATTCATTTATTATCACCTTTTTTCTTTTAATTTGATCAGAGTGAGACATGGAGAAGGAGGGAAAGTGCGAAAGCAAGCCATCAGGTCCAGGACTTGAACTGTGGTTGGTCATGTGGGAGTGTCTGGTGCCTTAACCACCATGTCACCTGCTGGTCCCCAAGGGATCTCACATTCTAAAGTAAACCTGGCATAGAAAAGATGATTACTGGGCCGGCTGCAGTGGCACACCAGTGGCTTGCCATTCTACTGGACAAATGTCCCTCCCTCATCTTACATAGATTTGTTACAGAAAATAAGGGAGTGAGCAGTCTAAGTCATTTTGTAAGATTAATGTAATTTCTATTCTAAAAAGTAATATATGGGGCTGGTATGTGATGTGGTGGTTAAGGCACTGGACTTCCCATATGGGCTGCTGCAGTTTGAGTCCTGGACCTGGTTGCTTACTTTCTCACTTTCTCTGGTCAAATAAAAAAAAAATAATAAATAAATAAATAAATAAATAAATAAATAAATAAAATAATTATTTAAAAAAGCAGATATAAATAATAAACATTAAAATGAACATTATAGGCTTATTTCACATGTGTGCATAGATGTACAGTTCTTAGAGCTACTCAGTTTTTGTAAAGGTCTAATTTCTCTTCAGCATGGCCATAATCCATATACCTGAAGACTGCTACTGCTTTCTCTCAGCCTGGCCTAAACAGTCCTACCTTCCTCCACCCTTCCCTCTCATGTCATCCTGGCCTCTGTTTGGGACATAGTCAAGTTCATCACCATCAGCCTGGAAATGTGACAAGAAGAAAGCTAGCATAGTTTTCTAGCCCTGCCATGAATCTACATGTGAATGGCTGCCCCTGAAGTGTGGGCCAGCCCCTCAAGACTCCATCCCCATGCCTGGCTCAGAGCGGGTGCACTCCCGTCCTTCTCACTCTTGATCTCTGTGTGAAGGCACAGGGCAGCCTACAGAGCTGTCCTGCAGCACCAGGGTCACCCAGGCAACCTGGCAATAAGCTCTTACCCTCCCTGCCCACTCTCTCCTAGCCCTATTTAGTTTCACTGTTGCTACTGACTTTCCTCAACCCAAGGCTCCAATAGTGGGTTAAGAAAGGAATGGAAAAAAGAGGAAATTCCCATGAGAAATAATCCTCTACATTCATTGATCTCCCATGATTTGGGGCAGGAAAGAAAACTATGAATATAAAGGCCTTTCCCCTATCGTGATACCCAAAAGCTTATTTTTCACCATATAGCATAAAACAAACAATTAAGGTAGTAATCTCCCAAAAGAAAGCCAGAAAACAGAATGGAGATTGGGATTTTTGGAAAGAACTAGAAGGAACTACAAAGGGACCTATGTTCTTCTCTGATAGAATACAGGCTATCTCCCAAGACCAGCAGATGGCTTAATGGTTACACCACTGGACTCTCAAGCAGTCGACCACAGTTCAAATCCCGGACCCAGCGGCTTAAAACTCACACCAGGTGCATGTGTGTGCATGCCCAAAATCCTGAGAGGAAACTAGAGGAGAAGGGATTGCAGCGTGGCCATTCCCTTGGGGAGTGATTTCTCACTTTCTGTCTCTTTGTCTCTCTAGTGAGTACACACGTCCTATAGAAAACACAAAAACCTCTCTCAACAAATAAATAAAGAATGAATGAATACAGGTTATCTCTACACAGAGATTTTTAAAAAGTTGTTGAACTCAAATCTACACTTAACAGAAAGAAAGAGAATAACTTTTGCTGTGTATTTCCACTTTATTACTCAAGCAGGGAACTTGAGGCAAACCCAGACCTTCAGCAATGTGCAGAGAAGAGGCCAGAGGAGTGGGTGGGGACACATACTGGCCAAGAAGGAAAACTGACAGGAAGGGAAATACCAGGAGAGAGTATGGGGGTGGCATAATCGGCCACTTTATCCAGGATGAGGAAGGGAACAAAGAGGTAATGAGCACAGCAGTGGTTGTTCTCCATGCCCAGCACCCACAAGGAGGCCACAGGTTTGAAAACGGAATAGGACAAGGAAAGAATGAGGAATATCAGCAGCTCAAAAATAATCTTTTTTCAACGTAAGTGAGAGTTCGACTAAGCATCCCACAACTTAAAAGGGGCCTCTTTTAAAACGAAGATGTAACTCTAACTGCATAAAATTGACTTACATAATTTATCTATCAACAGTATAAAACTAGTCTCCTACCTGTTGTTTCCTGGTAGGATACTTTTGAATGTTTGCTTTGAAAAAGGGGTACTTTTCATAGTTATAATCATACATCCATTCACAGAAGTGATTCCCAATGTCGAACCCCCTGCAGTAAGAGAAAAGACAGAGCACAGGTGAGGCAATTTGCTGTTCTGGAGGTAGTTTGTCCTCAGAAGGAAAGAGGCTGAGTTCTGGGCACATTATCCCAGCCCCAACGAGGTAATGATCAGAATCCTGGCTACTGAAGCTGTTAAGGCACCATCTGAATACGCTCAAGAACAACACGTCTTGGGGCTGGCAGGTGGCGTGGTGGTTGAGGCGCTGGACTCCCACATGGCTGACTACAAGTCAGGTCCCAGACCCGGAGGTTTGCTTTCCCATTTCCACCCCACCTCCTCTGTCTCCCTCTGGTCAAATTAAAAAAAAGAAAAAATAGTGATAATAAATAAAATTAAATAAATACTTAAAAAAAAATCCATCTCCTGTAATCAGCACTGTTGAAAGGAAAATGATCTCTGAAGCCAAAAGAAAATGCCAAGTTCTTTGGGCCAGATGGTGGCATAGCAGCAATATGTGACATTCCTTGAGGCTGACCCATATGGAAAGGTTCCAGGTTTACATCCAGAGACCTCCTCAAGTGCTGGGTATGTGCATGCTCACGATCAGAAGCAGGCTCAAGCCAAGGATGGATCATGGCATTGAGACTGTTGAGGGGAGCCAACAGGTGGGGTAAAGGTTAAGGCAGTTGGATCATTGACCAAGTTTGCGGTTTGAATCCTGGGCATGGATTCAAAAATCACACCAGGCTTGAAAATCACACCAGGCACAAGTGTATGCATGGCCAAAATCCTGAGAGGAGAATGGAGAAGGGGTTGTGGCATGGTCATCCCCCTGGGGTGTGATTTCTCACTTTCTCTCCCTTTTTCTCTCTCTATAACAAATGTACATGATGTATAGTAATAAATAAAATATATATATATATATATATATAAATACAAGACCTTGTGGGGGGTGTTGTCTGTCTCTCTGTCTCTGTCTTGCTCATGAGAGAAATACATTAAAAAAAACAAAAAAAGAGCCAAGTTCTAAGTCCTAGATTTTAATAGCGTGGCTGTTCCTCCTAGTCCAGTCAGCTGAGAATGGGAACCATGCTGCTTTTTCACACACAGCCTGCACTCCCAGTGAAGCAGCTTTCAACTGAGAATAGTGTTTTCACTTACCTATGTTAACAATATTAACAATAATAAAACAATACTGAACTGAAGACATTTGCCTAACACAATACCTGTAGTTATAACTGCTGTATTCAAAGTCAATAAGCATCAGTTTCTGCTTTTCAGAATTCTCTCGGCCTTCCAGCAGTAAGATATTACCTACAAAAAAGGTTTGTGTGACATTATTTATTTTGTAGTAGAAGACTCAAGTGCTTGGGTAGCAGAGCTAAGAGTGTGGTTCTGACCCTTTTAGGAGATCCTAACTGAATGCAGCTTTTGGTCCCCATGGACATCACCGTGGTATGGACAGAGCACAGGAGAAGTGCTGCCATGGGAGGCCTGGCCCTGGGCAGGGAGATGCGAAAGCCAGCACCCTTGAACACCTGTTCACTGCCCTGGCCTCCTTCGAGCTCTGGGCTCACTGAACAGAGCCTAGTCTCACAACACTGTCTGGGGCAGTACTTTCCATTAGCGGTACACTGGTGCTTCAGGCTGGTCCACACCCCACCCCCTACCCCTTTACTTCCCAGACTTAGCTGGCTGGTTGTGGAATATTAGCTGGGAAGCTCTGTCATTGTGTCTGACCTAGTGAAGATGCTGCAGGATAAGCTCAGCTACCACACAGGTCCCACTGTGTTGTCCTCCCAGCTTTTCCTTCCCAAGAACACCCCAGACAGAGTTCTTATGATGACATTTTCTTTCATGCTGAATTCCAGGTCAGAAGTGGGCTGGTAGGGACCAGCAGTTGGCATAATGGCTATGTCGTTGGACTCCCATGTAGTCAACTGCGGTTCGAGAGACCCAGTGGCTGAAACTCACACGAGGTGTGTGTGCGTGTGTGCCCAAGATCCCAAGAGAATGGAGGAAAAGGGATTGCAGCATGGCCATCCCTTCTGGGGGGTGATTTCTCACTTTCTGTCTCTAGATCTCTGTCTTTCCAGTGAGTGCACATGCCCTATAGCAAAAAAAAAAAAAAGGAAGGAAGGAAGGAAGCAAGGAAAGGAAGAAAGGAAGGAAGGAAGGAAGGAAAGAAAAGAAAAGAAAAGAAAAGAAAAGAAAATAAAAAAGAAAAGAAAAGAAAAGAAAAGGAAAGGAAAGGAAAGGAAAGGAAAGGAAAGGAAAGGAAAGGAAAGAAAAGAAAAGAAAAGAAAAGAAAAGAAAAGAAAAGAAAAGAAAAGAAACGAAAAAAAGAAGTGGGCTGGTCACCAGCCTGGCTCTTCATGTTCCCAAGACCCCCCCCGCCCCCTCCCCACACACACACATTCTACTCAGCACTGCAGGTCCCGTGAGATGGGCAATGGGAAGCCAGATTTTACCAGATGTCCAGTCACTCTGTTTCCAGGGTTTCTGGTGGAAAGTAGTTTTTAGGGTTCTAAGAATATTTCCTCCTTTTCCAGTAGCAATTAAACAGAGACAAGGGACCAGCAGTTGGCGTAATGGCTATTTTGCTGGACTCTCAGGTAGTCAACTGCAGTTTGAGTCCCAGACCTGGTGGGTTAAACTCATGCCGGGCACATGTGCATGCGTGCCCAAGATCCCGAGGGGAGAAGGGATTGCGGTGTGGCCATCCCCACTGGGGGGTGATTTCTTGCTTTCTGTCTCTCTGTCTTTCTGCTGAGTGCATACGCCCTCTAGCAAAAATCCTCTCCAAAAACAACAGCAACAACAACAAAAACAGAGACAAATGCCCAAAGTAGCAGAACTAAATAAATGTACACCTCCCATCTTCTCTATCTTTTCTACACTTTGCCATCACAGAGGCAGCTGACCTCTTTCCAGAACCCTCTCTCTAGTGGTGTCTGTGTTATTTATTACCCCCATGCCCAACAACACCACTGGAAGGGTGTAGATAACACACAAAATCCCTACACCCTGCTTGACCTTAGCCAGCAATGATCAGTTAACTAACAAAAGGTATCTTAGCTCAAACTAATGGCTTATTGATGGCAGGTCTTTAGGAGGGACTGTTCTTGGAATCTGCTTCGCCTAGGAAGAAAGGGCATGAGGTTGGACTTCAGTCACCTGTGATGGGGGAGCACAAGGACAGCAAGACAGAGAGCAGGGAACATTGACGGCATCAGTAGGAGCTGCACAATTAGGCAGGCACCTGCCTCTGATGAGCTGTTAGGTCACAGTGGGTAAAGCCTGTTACAGGATGTGACAGACAGCACTGTAATGTTTTTAAAGAGAGAAACCCAGAGTGCACTGACATTTAGCGAGAAAGGGCTTTGATAAGCTGCAGTGTGCTGCAGTGTGGGCCCAGGTCTGACTCAGAAGGTGACTTGTTCTTTACTACTTCTCAGATTTAAAAGTCATATATGGGGGGCCAATAGGTGGTGTGGTGGTTAAGGCACTGGACCCTTACATGACTGACAGCAGTTCAAGTCCCAGGCCTGGGAGCTTGAGCTTGTTTTCTCACTTTACCTCTCCTCTGGTCAAATTAAAACATAAATAAAATTAAATAATTATTGTTTTTAAAAAGTCATATGTTCAAAGAGCTGAACACTAAAAAACAATATGTGAGGCTGGCAGGTGGCAGAGGGGTAAGGGCACTGGATTCACACATGGGCGACTACAGTTTGAGTCCTGGACCTGGCAGTTTGTTTTCTCACTTCCCTCTCTCTTTCTCTGTCCCTCTCTGGTCAAATTAAAAAAATTTAAAAATAATGAATAAAGTTAAATAAATAATTCTTTAAAAAAATGTGACTTAGAAAAGTTTAAGTCCTTTATCCCAACTCAAGTTGTGAATATTCCTTCAGATATTTTTCTACATATTTCTCTACCTTTTAAATAAATGAGAAGGTACCTTATACCTTTTCTATGACTTTTTTCCTTAGTATATCTGTGAGGATTTTCTGTTGGTATGTATAAAACTATCTTATGTGCTTTAATAGTTAAATTATATTTCATTGTCTGGCTGTTTCATAATTTTTTGTGTCTCAATCTCTCCTGGTAGTCAGCTGGCATTTATCATACACACTGGAGGTAATCTTCTAAATATATACATCAATGCTATTTTTAGCATAACACAGTAATTCTTACCTTCTTGACAGTCATTATGACAAAATACAACTGGAGATGGAGTAGATTCAAGCAAGGATCTAGAAAAGAAAGGTTTTACTGTTACCTTTCAAACTTTTAAGTAAGATATAAACAGTCCCACTGTCTCAACATGGCCAGCACTCCATTAGTGCTCCAAACCAAACCATGGTCTCTGTGTAACACAGTCACGTCAGTTCTGGAAACTGTGTCATTATGTGGCTTCAACTCCACGGAAGCTCACACCAGAAATCTTCACAGGTCCCTCAGTACTCCAAACTCTTTCCTGCTGCAGGACCTTTGCACATGACGGTCCCCTCCTGCAGCACCCCCTCCTCGCTTTGTTTTCCATCCTCCTAATAGAAGCTCCTTGAAAAATGCCTGGGTCACCATTCCCTCCACACCAATCACGACGCCTTGTGCAGCAGACACTCAGATATTAAGGTGTAAATACTTGTTGAGGTGCGTATGCAAGTAGCCTGCACTCAGTCTCACACTGAGGACACCATGGCCTCGACTCAGCGATCACTGTCAACTTCCTACTGTTTTCCCCTAAAGCTTAGGTGTAACTGTTTCCCTCATTTGCTTATGCTCCAGAGCCTGCCCTTACTTTTTCTCTCCAGCCCCAAATGACAAATCTATTGTCCTAGATACTCTACTTGCCCTAGTCACCAAACCACTCCTCTAAAATTTTCCTCCCTCTATGAAACATTCATGAACTGACTAGAGGTAAAGTGACAGTATTTGTAGAAAACTAATGCTAGATACAAAACTCATCTGTTTAAATTCATCCTGTAAAACCCAGACATGATTAAATGCCAAACATGAGGAAAGCTTAATCAATGCTCATTGATAACAGTTTTAGCAAATCAGAATACCTGAATTTTTGGACAGATGTACTTATTACTTATTAAGCCAGAAGACAGAAGCAGATCCTCACCTCAGGTTTTCCAGTTCCAAAGGGAGATTGTAACTGAGGAATTTGTGGAGCTGCTTAACTCTGGATTCCCCAGTAAATTTAATTCTCAGCACTTGATTTAGGTATCTGTGAGAAAACAGGACACAGAGGATCACTGAGCAGTTCACCCAGGCTTATTCCTGGGGCTACAGTCAAACATTCAATCCCAGCACAGCCACAGTAACAGCCGTGGGGAAGAGGAGCAGACTGAGGATTCTCAGCTTTCTAGAAAGCTGAATTTCTCTCCATCCACCAGTTAGTATATCAGCGTTTCCATAAACAAATCTTTTTTAGTTCAGAAATGGATTTTTATATGTGAGAAAGACTTGGTCATGAGACAAATACCTCCGAGTGACAGCCTGCACAGCAGTGAACCAGAGGATGACCTCTGAATGCTGTGGCAGACCTTGCTCACTTCTGCTACTGCTGAAAGCCACAATGGAGAACTCAGGACCGAGCCACTTGACCACTTACTTTTCCATCGTTCCAAAAAGCCATTTTGGTTCCTTATTGAAGGGCATTTTCATACCATGAAATGTAGCCATTTTCTCAGCTATTTCTGCAGAAATATCTGGCAAACTTAATTCTTCAGTGTCTAACCGCCGGCTCTGAAATAAAAAAGGAGTTAAAAGTTGTTATTTATCCAGGTAACTCAAAAAGTGTGAGATCACACAATCTTTTATTATTTTTTTTAAAAAAATAACTATTTTATTTGCTATTGTTATCATTTTTTCAATTTGCCCAGAGAGAGAGAGAAAGAGAAGTGAGAAAGCAAGTCACGAGGTCTGAGACTCGAACCACAGTCGTCCATGTGGGAGTCCAGCACCTTAACTACCATGCCACCTGCCAGCCACAAAATAAAACAATCTTAAGAACTATTAATAGAAGCCAGTTTCTGTAGGGTATTTAAGTCTCACCAAATGCACAAAATTCCCTCAGGAATGGATGCTGTGTTTCTATACTGATATAACAAATGCTATGGCATCTCTATAGTGCAGAACAGGCCATCTCCAAAGGTCTATGTTATTTTGAAAACCCTCTGTCTGCCTTTTTTAAATGCCAGAGAATGCATTGCACATGCCAAAGAAGAGACGGAGAGGAACAAAAGCATCTTTCAAAGGGGCGTGGTCACACTACAATCCCTTCTCCTCCATTTCTTGCTCTTGTTGGGACTTGGGGCATACACACACATGGCCCGGTGTGTTTTTAAAGCTGCCAGGGCCAGGATTTGAAACAGTCAGTACATGGCTCCCTCAATCACTAGACTATAGGGCCAGCCCTTAAACCCTTTTTAATTGTGAGAATGCTCTTCCTTAAAACTTACTAAACTAAAAACGATTTCCCTATCATCTATAATTCTGCCCTCTAAAACCACACAAAACAAGTCTTATGTACTCTATCCAACACTCAAATCCATGTCTTCAGCAATTCATCACATGACCCAGCTCCAGCTTCTCCCTCAGCTGGTACATTCTGCTCTGCCTGCTGCAGGAAAGATGTGTGCGAGGGTCGGCAGGTGACATGGCGGTTAAGGCACTAGGCTCCCACATGGCTGGCTATGGTTCAAGACCCAGACCTGGTGACTTGTTTTCCCTATCTCTCCCTCTCTGGTCAAATTAAACAACAACAATAATAACAAATGGAATTAAATAAATAAATCTTTGAAAAGGGAAAAAAAATAAATAAAAGATGTGTGTGTGCAGAATAAGTTCTAACCAGGAGATGTGCTGTGAGTCCAGGAGAAGCCATTGCCAACTTCCCCCAATGGTGTCCTCAGCACCTGGCCTGGCACAGGGCAGGCTTCAGCAGGCAAAGCTAAGCAAAGAAACAGAGCCAAAGAGGACTTAGTGCCAGTCTCTGGACACTGTGCTTCTGCAATGCAGCCTGAGGCTATACTGCTTTGGCTGCTCTTTCATATTAACGTTCATGGAGCTTATGATCAATGTAGACCACAAGGGCTTCTTCACATGAACTGCTCCTGACACAAACCCAGAGACATTTCCCTGAAAAACCAAAGCAGGACAGCACAAAGGTTAGGAACAAATGCTCCTAAGTTAGAAAAACCACAGTTCAGGGATCAGCAGGTGGCATGGTGGTTAAGGGCGCTGGACCCACATGGCCGACTATGGTTTTGAGTCCCAGACCTGGTGGATTGCCTTCTCACTTTCTCTGCCCCCCCCCCCCCACCTCCATCTCTGGTCAAACTAAAATAAATGAATAAAATTAAGTAAAATAATCCTTTAAAAAAAAAAAAAAAACACAGTTCAAATTCTGGCTTTAATGTTTACTTCAAGGCTATATGACACTAAGGGCAAGTTACTTAATATACTATTCTTCATTTTCTTGCTTCTAGAAAACAGGAACTATGACTTCGTTTTTGTTTTTGCCATAGGGCACATGGGCTCATCAGAGAAAGTGAGAGAGGGAGAATGAGAAATCATCCCCTGGGGGGGATGGCCATGCCACAATAGCTTCTCCTCCATTCTCCTCTTGGGGTTTTGGGCACACATGCGCACACATCCAGTGTGATTTTTCAAGCTGCTGGGTCTGAGACTTGAACCAAGGAGTTGGCCATGTGGGAGCCAGCACCTTAGCCTCCACACCATCCGATGGCCCTGGTAACTAGGACATTAAGACCCTCACAGAGTCACTATGAGAGCTGGGGGAGATAATGCACACAAGGCCTCTGAGATAAGGGTGAGTCTCAACACATTGCAGGTGTTCTTAATTAGACCCAAGCACTCACTGAAAGCATTGGGCTTGGTGTTCTACTTAGCCCCGGAATCCTCTCCACAACTTTCTCCATAAATTATCATACCATGCATGAGATAAGGATAGAACTCAGCTTCTAGTGACAGGATACTTAGGACTTAAGGTAGCTCACTCAGCTTTTATTTTTTTCTTTTAAGAGAGTTTTTTTGCTATAGGGCATGTGCGCTCACTGGAGAGAGAGAGAGAGACAGACAGACAGACGGGGGGATGTCCACACCGCAATCCCTTCTTCACAATTCTCCTCTCGGGATTTTGGACACACATGCACATGCACTCAGCATGAGTTTCAAACCACCAGGTCCAGGACTCAAACCACCATTGACTACATGGGAGTCCAGTGACGTAACCACTATGCCATATGCTGATCCCCAGCTCATTCAGCTTTTAAAAATGCCTGTAAGTTTCTTTACCAGCACAATAACATAGGCTGGGAGAGAAGTAAATCGATTTAAAGAGGGCTAAGGTTCTTGCATTGTCTGGAAAAATGACAATAATACCAACTGATATTATAAAGCTGGATAAGTCAAATACAAAAACTGTAACTAAAAATAATCAATAAAAGAATGGTAGAGGTGCATGATTTCCAAATGAATGGGAAAGGAAATAATGAAAAAAGAAACAGAATAAGAAAAGGTAGGAAAGGAGGACCAGCAGTTAGCGTAATGGCTATGTTGCTGGACTCCCATGTAGTCAACTGCAGTTCGAGTCCTGGACCCAGTAGCTTAAACTTGCGCCGGGCACACGTATGTGCCTGCCCAAGATCCTGAGAAGAGAATGGAGGAGAAGGGATTGCGGTGTGGCCATCCCCCCTGGGGGGTGATTTCTCGCTGTCTCTTTGTCTCTCTGGCGAGTGCACGCGCCCTATAGTAAAAACCTTTCAAAAAAAAAAAAAAGGTAGGAAAAATATAACTCCATACTAAGATGGCACTAAGACTTAGTGACCAGCAGACGGCATAATGGTTATGTTGCTGGACTCTCACATAGTCGACCGCAGTTCGAGTCCTACACCCAGAGGCTTAAGACTGATGCCAGGGGGGGTCAGCAGGTAGTGTGGGGGTTAAGATGCTGGACTCTCACATGGCTGATGACAGTTCAAGTCCTGAACCTGGCTGCTTGCTTTCTCACTTTCTTTCTCTGTCTGTCCCTCTCTGGTCAAATTTAAATAAATTTAAGTTAAATAAAATAACTCTTAAAAAAAAAAAATCCCTAGAGGAGAATGGAGAAGAAGGGATTGTGGTGTGACCATCTGCCCGGAGGGGGGGGGTTGATTTCTCGCTTTCAGTCTCTCTAGCAGAGCGCACATATCCTATAGCAAAAATCTTCTTCAAAAAAACTAAAATAAAAAAAATAAAGAAAGATGGCTGACTTATAATCCCAAATATATTGGCAATTATAGTAAATGTAAATGAACTGATAGTTTCAATTAACAGATAAAGATTATCAGAATGAATTTTTGAAAAAAAATCTATACACTATTTATAAGAGAATTAATTTTTTTAAAGAATAATTTTTTTTAACTTTACTTATTTATTTATTTTTAATTTGACCAGAGAGGAACAGAGCTGAAAGAGAGGGGTGGGGGGAGTGAGAAAGCAAGCTGCCAGGTCCAGGACTTGAACCATAATTGACCACGTGGGAGTCCAGCACCCCCAATCACGCTACCCACCAGCTCCAGAATAAATTTTGTTTATTCATTCATATTGTTATTTGTAACCACATTAAGGATTTTATATTTGCAAAACTCTCTAAAATACTTAATTATATCACTTGATTTTTATGCCTGAAAGAGGTTACTGTCTTTATTGAGACAATTATAAATAAAAACATGGCCAGGTGCCAGAGACTAGACTAAAGGTAGAGTGTGGCACAGTGATCCATTCATCTAACCATGCCTTCAGGGTTGGCAGTTCCAAGGCCAGGCCATGACACCACCTTGAAGAGGTCCCTCAGGGGACAGATCACAGAAGGCTCTCTGTTCCTGGGCTGTAGAGTAGACAAAGGAACCCCCTCTTTCAGCCCCTAGCTAGATGTTCATTGAGCCCTGCAAGCAGAGCACCCCTTAGTCAGGTGTCCCTGTGCTAGGCCTGTCCGCACAGCTGCACAGGACAGCCTGGCACATGTGAGGCCTCTTGTGGCAAGACACCCCATGCAGAGGGTATAAAGAGTGCCACTGGAACATAAGGAGTTCAGTTAAGATGAACAAGCTTTTATCAGAACCGCAAACCTAGCTGAAAGCAGGGGACAGCAAGCTAATAGGATCAGCAATGCCTAACAAACACATCGGTCCTGAGGGTGCCACAGCCACCCTCTTTAACCATTAAGGTTAATGAGAACTCTTGAGGCACAAAGCATCATGCAGGGAATAAAGTGTGTGAGTGAGGCAGGGGATATGCCCACATAACCCTTAGATGTTATAGCAACATTAAAAATGCCTCAGGATAACAAGAAAGGGAAAATAAACCTGGCTGATTGGAAATAGAGGATTTGAGCTAGGCCCTGAAACCTAAGAGGAATCTGACAGGCACACAGAAATAGGAAAGGTGGGAGACAGAGAAGACTCTAAACAGTAGAAAGGCATAAAAACGCAAAGGACAATGAGCGACAAGGGGGAAAGAACTGTGCTGGCCTCCATAGGGCTCTGGCCAGAGAAGGGACAGGGTATAGCCACTGTCAAACTGTTCTAGCAGCCAATTCTATAAAGAAAAACACCAGAATTTGAGATCAACAGGTGAAAAGGTGAAAGTTTCAGGGTAAGCAGCATAAGGAGACAGGGAATGGTAAGTTTCATATATCACCCCTGCGGAGGATGGCCATCTTACCGGGATGAACTGCTCCAGTCGGCCTTGGGGAAAGATGCCATAGAGTTTTGGCCCAAGCGATCTCTCTGCGAGAATGGCAAACATAACACTCTCCAGAACCATAGCCTCGGCCCCCTAAAACAGACAAGAGCAAATCATATGTTTACTGAGTGTTCATTTAATCTACTGCTCATTAACTATTCTTCGATGTGGGTACTATCAACACTTACCACCCCTATTTTAATACAAAGAAACAGGTTCCAAAATCACAGATGTTGTGATTCACAGGATCCATGCTTGCAAACATTAGACTGTATTGATGAAATTTAAAATTCAAGTTTAATTTAGGTCATCTGTTCCAGAAATAGAACAATATCTATCAGTGCTTTTATTGCTTCTATTTATTTTATAACCTCTGTATGAGCCTCACTCCTGGGCATTTTATCAAAGGCCATAACATCATCTATTGTGGTAAGGGCTGATTGATTGGCTCTTTGGTTGAGAGCATCTAGTGAAAAGAAATGATCTAAATGAACTTCTACCCACTAAGCTGGTCAGTGGATACAGTAAGTTTGAGAATTACTGATTTAGGTCCAAGTTCTATGGTTCTTTGATCCAAAGAGCACCCTAGCATTTGGCATTCCAGGTTTCGATTTCCAGCTCTCATAACTAGTCTCCTGGGGTTTGTTTGTCTTCCTGCTAAAACCTCTATGATGTGCCTCTCTTCCGCCCTAATAACTAATGTGGGATCTACAATCATTTCACCGTCAAAATCCATCCTCTTGTCTCAATTCAAATTCATTCCTTAATCAAGTTCCCTTAACTAGCAAATTACAGCCTACGGGTTTCTATCTGTTGGAGTGAAGGAGTGGAAAAACATCATGCTCAACCATAAGGTGCACCCAAATCTCCTACAGAGCTTTCACAGGTAGAGATTCTCAGATCCCAAGTCCAGGTTTCTGAGTTGTGTCTAAGGAGAACTGCCAGAAGATGTGCTCTGAAAAAGCTTTTCCGATTATTCTAGTTCATCCCTTGTTAAGAGATGTGCTGTGGGGGAACATGACCCCTGAAAAACATGTTACAAAAAACAAAGAAATCTAAAGGAAAAACTAATTAGGCAACGAAATGACACTAGAATTAATGTGAAGAAAAAAGAAGATACTTCCACAGGCTATCAGACCTCATTAAAGTAAAAAGTAATTCAGTACTTTTACAGTTTGTGGGGGCAAATGGGTTTGTTGGTAATCCCCCACAATTACAGTTTAACCATCATGTTATAGTAATCCCCACAATTATGGTCTAACCATCATTTTTATGAGGCTCAATCTTTATTTACTAATTTGCAGTTTTGTGTAGATGACAATACAGACAGCACATTCATTTCAACTTAATGGACTTTAGGATATGATATCAGTCAGGTTTTATTTCTTCAATCTATTGAGAATGACAATAAATACCTAACAGCATTTTCTGCTTACTTGGCAAAACATTTTTTATTTTTTATAAATTATTTCATTTTATTTATTATCTTTCTTAAATTATTTGCTATAGGGCATGTGCGCTCACCAGATTGAGGGAAAAAATGAGAAACCACTGTAAAATGCACAACCATGTGGAGGTTGGGCATCACAGCACAAGACAGTGCTCGACTTTGCTCTGAGACCAGGAAATCTGCCATCTGTGGCTCTTTGTAGCCCTTTGCAATCTGTATAATCGCCTACAAAATTTCAACTCTCTTTCCAATAGTTTCTGAAGAGTAGGATTAAGATCTCTTGTTCCGGATTCCTAGGAATATGGAATGTTTTCAGAATTAAATTTTATTTTTCAACTTTTCAGCTTTTAACATGATAAAATGACTAAACTGAAGGGCACTAAAGTGGCACTGTATAAAATAAAGACAGCAGGGAGCCAGTGGCTGGCATGATGGTTAAAGCACTGGACTCCCACAGGCTGATCGCAGTTCAATTCCCAGACCTAATGGCCTGTTTTCTCACTTTCTCTCTCTCTCTCTCTCTCTCTCTCTCTCGTGAGTGCACATGCCCTGTAGAATACTAAAAAAAAATTATGATAAATAAGATTGAATTATTTTTTAAAAAAGAATGATTTGTTTAATTTCATTTGCTATTATTATTATTTCTTAATTTAACCAGAAAGAGAGAGAGAGCAAGAGAAAGAAGGAAAGTGAGAAAGTAAGCCACCAGATCTGGGACTCAAACTGTGGTCTGCCATGTGAGAGTCCAGTGCCTTAACCACCACACCACCTGCTGGCCACTGAATGAATAATTCTTTTTTTAAATTATTTTATTTAATTTTATTCATTCATTTATTTTCATTTGATCAGAGAGAGAGAGAGAGAAAGAAAGCAAGCCACCATGTCTGGGACTCAAACCATGGTCAGCCATGTGGGAGTGTCCAGCACCCCAACCATCACGCCACCTGCTGGTCCCCATGAATAATTCTTGAGGGGGGAAAAAACAGCTGGCCCTCTATAGCCACAGAATATGAAAACAATACATTACTGCTGGCATATTCTATGTAATTAGGCCTTTATTGATTTAGTCTAGCCTGTAATGAATATTTAGATTTTCTCCCTTTTTCATTATTTCCTAAACAAAATAGTATAACAATTATTTGCATAGTATTTACATATCATTAGGTATTATAAGTAATCTAGAGACGTGTATGGGTAATATGCAGTACTGTACTTTTTTTTCCCCCTAGCTTTAGCTATAGGGTTGTACACTAGTCAGAAAGACAGAGAGAGAGGAACTAGAAAAATGAGAAATTATCCCTCAGGAGGGATAGCCACACCGCAATCGTTTCTCCTTCATTCTCCTCTTACGATTTTGGTCACGCGTGCACACACACACACACACCTGGTGTGATTTTCAAGCCACTGGGTCCAGGACTCAAATTGTATAATTAGCCACATGGGACCCACTCACCTTAACCTTTACATTATCTGCTGGCCCAGTACTATACCACTGTATAGAAGGAACTTAAGCATCCACAGAGTTTAGTATACTTCTAGAACTAATCCCCTGTTGATGAGGGGCAACTGTATATATACTCCATCCTAAATAAGCCTTAAAGGTTAAAACTCCAAATTTAATATATACATTTAAAGCCTACTTTATTATTCCAGTAAATTCAGCATACCATGCTCACTGAGAACACAGAATTCTTCGAGTTGCCTTTATCTAACTGTAGCCCTGACGCTGGTTTGTGGATTGAATACACTGCAGAATCCTCTCCAGAGCTGCGTCAGCCCATTCCCAGAAATGGAAAGAGATGGAAGAATTGTCCAATTCTTTTTTAGCTTTGTTCTTACATAATGTTACAATTCAAGATTGATTCACAGTAGGAAGATGGGGGCAGGAGTGGGATGGGGTGTGGCGGATGGAATCTACAGATGAAAAAGAGAGAAAAAAACTAAGTCACCACAAGAAAAATGGATAGGTAAAGGAGGATGGTGGATAACCTAACAGCGAGTGCACTGACCACCAGTGGTCTTTTTGTAATCTCTAGGTCGCTGAACAACCTTTCCCAATCCCTGCTTGCTACTTGAAAATGAGCATAGTAGAGAGCAGAGCTGGACAGACATGGCCTGGCCCACCCCTCCACACTGTACCCAAGTTCAGCCACAGGCCATCAAATCACAGCTGGCGACAATCTACAGGAAACTGGTCCTATTTTTTCACAAAAGATCAATACCTCAACAGCAACTACTTACCTTGGCTTCAGAAATAAAGATTCATTCATACACTCACCAAAAAAAAAAAAAAAAAAAGCTTCTTGGATATCTACTAAGAATCTGGTACTGTGCTAAGCACAAGAGACAACAAAGACAAAGCACACTGGGCCTGCCTCATGGAGCTTACGTTCTAGCGAGAAACAGACAGTGAAGTGAGTAAGCACAGCTACAGATGGGATTGCACCATGAGGGGAGCAGAAGAGGGAGCTGACAGGGTGTGAATGGGATGAGTGTTACTAAGACAGCAACACTGAGTTGACCTGAGACCTCAGGGGCGAGGAGCCACAGTCAGCCCTGTAGGAGTACATAGGCCTGGAGGGAGGAGTCATTTTGGAGCATTCAAAAACTTGGGGGGGAGGGTGCAGCTGGACAGGGCAATAAAAGGAAAGGAAGAGCACAACATTAGCCAAAAAAGCTCCAAGAGATCGAGCAGCCTGGGCTGACTGGAAGGGGAGGGCCAAAGGCACATGTTCCAGAGCTCGCATCATGATAATGCTTGAGAATGAAGATCTATCAAGGAGCAAGCCTCAAAAGGAGCCAGGGGTTTCAACAGATGAGAAATGATTGGAAGCAACAATAAAGAATCAAGACGGAAGAAGTCATTGACCCCTAGAAATGGTCCTGAGGTACTCGGGAGGTGATAGAAAAAATGTCCTCCTTTGAAGAGGGTTACAAGGGAGGGACCTTCTGAGACAGTGAGGACTTAGATAAGGCCATTAAATCTTTTCATGTTTAATCTTTGCCTTGGGCCAATTTAAGTGGGCTTTATCCTACTAGGTCTTTAGGATCTGACCACTACAACCTTTCCAGCTTCACTTCACAGCATGCTCCCAACATTCTATGCTCTCCAGCCATGTTCTAACTCTATGGTATTCCCTGCCACAGGGCCTTTGAAGATGTTCCACAAAGTGACCTCAGCGGACCAGGACTGGTGACACAAAAGACGGAAAGAAAACAAAATCAACTCTTCCACTCGGACAACAAATCACCTTCCTTTTCTATGCAAAAATCAGGCTACCTGCTATTTTCTGGTAGGTCCTAAGGAGGTTTAGCCATGATCGATGGGTAGGTAACTTGCTGCTGCAGGTACTGCAGTTACCATGAGACAACAAGAAGCAGCCAAGAGCTTGCTCTGAGTTTATAATCTCAAACTTGTATGATTTGTGTGTGTGTGTGTGTGTGTGTGTGTGTGTACACCAGAGAGACAGAAAGAGAGAGAGAGGAGGAAGCACCCCCACACACACACTGGGAATGATCATACCACTATCTCTTCTCCTCTATCTCTTCCTCCTTTTGGGACTTTGGACACGCATGCGTACACATCTGGTATGTTCCCAGTCTGCCAGGTCCAGAACTTGAACAGCACAGCCAGCCACGTAGGATCCAACCCTTAACCACCAGGCCATGAAGCTGACCTGAGTTTAGAAACTCAAAAGGGCAGTCATGTAGACTAAAAATTAACAACCACAGAAAGTGCAAAAGAATAGCATGACATAAAGGCACAAACCTCATCTAGGCACAAACCCAGTCAGGAGGAGGCTTACTATGGAAGGAGACTTCAAGGTGATCCTAGCCATGAGCAGAAGTAGTGGGTGGGAAACGTAAAGCCATGGAGCCACAGCTGGAAGGAAAAGCATGTGCAAAGGCCCCAAGACAAGGAATACCATAGGGTTAGGACATGGTTGGAGAGCAGGGAATGTTGTGAATATTGTGAGATGAAGCTGGGAAGGTCAGTGGGAGTTAGATTATGAGGGCCTAGTAGGATAACGCCCACTTAACTTGGCCAAAGGCAGAGAGTAAGCACAGAGGATTAATCAAGAGACTAATATATAATCAATCAGCAATTACAAAATATCACTCTGGCAAAGATAAATGGAGTGTTTTGTGGGAAATAAGAACAGAAGTAGGACATGAAAGGACAGAATGGCAGCTTAGACTAGAAAGGTACAGGGTACAGATGGAGAAAAGTAGACAGATCCAAGGCATAGTTCAAATAATCAACAGAATTCGTGGTGTAAATATGGGAATGAGGGAGAGCAAAGTATCAGAGATAACCCTCTGGTTTCTGACCTACACAGCCAGGTGAGTGACCCAGAAAAGGAATGCCAGGAAGATCAGGATTTTGATTTTTCTGTGGAGAAGGAGGAAAGGTCAGTCATGGGTTCAGCCTGGGCCACAGCAGGTTTGAGGCCTATGAGACATCCAAGGAGAGATTGCTAGCTGATGGCATTAGTTCCAAAGGGTCTAAACTACGGTAAAGATGCTGTGGTCCCCTGGAGGGTCCACAGCCACATTTCAGGAAGCTCTAATGCTAGACAGCAAAAAAATAAGCACAGAATGAAGACTAAGGGGGGATGGAAGAAAGCGAGGGATCTGTATTATGTCTCTGTATTGTGGCTAACTTAGTGGAGAAAACATCTCAAAATGGGTGAGGGTCTGGGTGGCATAGTGGTTAAGGCAGCTGGATACCACATGGCCAACTGCACAGTTCAAGTCCCTGACCTGGCACCTTGAACAAAACTAAACAGCCGTGTGTGCTCAAAATCCCAAGAGGATAATAGAGAAGGGATTATGGTATGGCTATGCCCTTTGCGGGGGGCGGGGGGGGGAGTGCTTTCTCACCTTCTCTCTCCCCCAGCAAGCCCACACATCCTGTAGCAACTTAAAAAAAAAAAAAAAAAAGGTAGGGTTCATGCCAAATACTGTTGAGAAGTCAAATAAAATGAGAACTGGACATGTCCTTTGGATTTAGTGTAATGGAGCTCCTAGTGATGCAACATTTTCAGCTACCAGGAAGTACAAAGGTTATGTATGAAGAGCTTTCAACAGTTGAAAATAGAATAGCAATCACTACCTCTTCAATGACTTCTCAGTCACTGTCATCACAGTTAGTGTAAGTTCTAGACCCTTTGAACCAGGTCCCCAGAACAGGACGCATACAAAGCAAACTGCTGAAATGTGAGGAAAAATATCAACCCATTCCCTCCTTTTTTTTATCTCATCCCTTTTTACTGCTTCTTGATCATACTAATAATCAGTATACAATCGGTAAAACTGGTATATACAGACACATGCGTGTCTATGTCTTAGACATATGCGTGCTGTGCATGTGCACCCCCTTATCTGTAGGCCTGCACATATTAGGAAAGAGCACTCAAAAATTCCTTGCTCCTACAGTGGAGATCAGCACCCCAGACTCCAGTTTGAGCCTCCCTGCAGCTGTGCTCTCAGTCTCAGGCTCTTCCGCATATATGTGGCTCAGAGAGTGAGGTCATTTTAACTCACAATCCCGTAGACTAGGAAGAAGCTTTTCCAACCTGGATATCATGCATAGAGAGGCTACTAAAACAACTGAGTAGTCCCTTGCTTCCTGATGAGATGCATGGCAACAGCTAACATGGGGTGGGAGAGACACTGCAGCAGCGGCAACCAGGTGCTTCCACATCAGACTATTGCATACTTATGTTACCCAAAGTTCTGTCTCTTAGCTCATCAAATGCTGTTCAAGTTGTCATAAAGGCACAATCCTTCCACTATCTACACTCTCAGGAGGAATCAGAAATACCCACTGCTCACTCAGTCTTAATGCAGTAGCTCCTGATACACCAGAGCCCTTACTCTAGGAAAGATACACCAGGATTTTCCAAGGGCAGATAAGAGGCACTGCCAGACCACAGACCAGGTGAGGTTGGCCACCACCAGCTTCTACCTCATACAGATGCAGAATGGACTGAATTACTTACTTGAAATTCATTCTCTCTCTGAGCTTGTTCGGATCCCTCTTTATTACAGGACCTCTATGAATGAGAAAAAGCAAACACTTCCGGTGAGATGGGGAACACAGAGCAGACACTAACTTTGCAACCACCAGAACAGTCAAGGTTTACAAAACATGACAGATCTTTATAGTGTGTGACCACCGGTGTGACCAGCTCAGTCTAAATTGCACCAGCAGCCTCCGGCACTAGTGCCAACGCCTTAGAAAGTGCTTCATTTCTTTACAAGAAAGGGGATATATGCCAAGGGGATATGCCATGGAGACCAAATAGCTGCATGTCTCACAGCCGTCCCCATGTATTTTCACAATTTCATTATTAGAGGAAAGTCTAGAGTGCCCTCTTCTAATGAGGCCTTCTCAAAACAAGTTGTCACCAATTGAGCTATGTGGTTCTTTCGAGCCAACCTGCAAGAACAGGGAGTGTCAACACACCCATGGACAGCCGTGAACGGCACAGGACGGACAGAGGCAATCCCCATGCAGGCGGGAAACCTGACACAGGTCTGTGCAGACACGCTCTGCCACCATGCCGTTTCACAGACTGACCCTTCTAGCTCAGCCCGTCACCCTCTCAACCGGACTGCTGAATTTAATAAAGCCCCTAAAAGTATCTTACACATTAGTGTATTAAAGTATATTTTTACATCACTTTCCTCAATGAAATTGCAAGTTACTGGTAACCAGGATTCTAGCAATAAAAACATGCTAAATCATTAACTACCATAAGTAATTCTTAGGCTACATACTTTCTTTATGACACAGATCATACATTAGAAAAGCAACCCCCCACCCCAAGTGCTTTAAAAACCTTCATACTATCTTTAACAAGGGAATGGGAAAAGTAAAGTAAAAAACTTAAGTGTCATGTCCAAATTTTGCATTCAGATATTGCCTCTAAAAATGGTATTTGTTACAAATTAAACTAAGTCTGCCTAAGCTGGACACAAAAGGAATCCCGTGAAGGAAACCTCTTTAAAAAAACTTAAGGTAACAGATTCTTGAACATCCCATGAAAAACATACCTTTCCATTCCACAGCTTTATCAAAAATACCTGTACCAAGGGTGGAAAGTATGGACAGGAAAAAAAATGCCACGTTAAGCAACACCAGCTACTCTAACACCATTCGAAAAACCTCGTGATTTAAAGCAACCACTCTCATCCATCATACAGTGAAATAACATTCCACAGATGTCTAATGCATGTTTTATATATACAGTGCATGTTTTATCTTATTCAACATAAAGGTAAACAAAATCAATACCCATGTTCATGAAGCTATCTGCATAAGACTCACTGCTGGCACTTCCACATATTCAGTAGTATCTTTAACATACAGTTCATTACATTTGGTACAAAGTACACAAAGTACAAATGGGGTATAGATATTTTTGTTTGTGTAATCTGCATTTCTCTGATGAAAGGATGTTACAGGTTAAATCCCATTACAATGGAAGCTATAAAAATCCAAATACTACAAAACTACTTTTAGACCTGCTGACGGTTTGACTTAAGATGTGATAAACCTGAAAAAGGAGTAGCTAGATATCATGAAAACTTTACTCCTTCCCTAACTCCAAAATACTCTCGTGACGTGTTGTACCTTAGACTTCAGCTGTCTCCTCTCCCAAGTCGTCTCTAAGTTCCTAATGAATAGGGACTCCATCTTTTACTTATTATCGGTCTTCCCCAAAGCACTAAATAAATTCTGAAGCTGCCTACACTTTCTGGGCTGCATGAATAAATGAGATTCCGTGCTGCTAAGCACAGGCAAACAAGCCCAGGAGCAATGCACTGGACTCGACGAGCTGTGGCAAATTCACGTCCAGATCCCAGCTAAGGGAAATGAACTGCAATGTCAGAACACGGTGTGGGGCTGAAACGCCCCTTCCAAAGTTCTTCAATTTAATATATTACATACTCATACTTTGTAGGGAAAAATTTAAGACACATACAGAATTTGGATATCCTACTTAAATTTGTTGTAACGGGATTTGACCTGTATGAAAGTCTACATGACTGTGGTTATTCCTATGCTGTTATTATTCTAACTGTATCTTCTGTGGGAGATACAGTTAATGGGTTATTTAGCAAACAGAAGTCCCTTTCCCTTGTCTAATAATGGTGCTCTCAAAAACAAGTCACTTCATCCAGAGTAACAAATGGGCTTAGTTCCTTCTTAACATATTAGCACCATAAGTGGGAGTAAATTCCATTAATAATTTCCCCGCCCCACCTCACCCAAGTGAATGCATTACTTATACCAGAAGAGCACCATCATGAAGGCAAGATGGACTTCTGCGATATCCATCCCTCTGTTCTGTTTCCTCAGTACAGAATGTTTAGCTTCCCTAAGTCCTGTACATCAGAAGAAGAAGACTGGGAAATTTTAAACCAAGCAGATATTCATGAAAAGGGAAGAGAAGAAGCCTCCTTCTGAGGTGAGCCAAGAAGAAACGGTCTCACTTTGTCAAAAGACAGGTCAGAGAACTTTTTGGTATAAGAAGACAGGAAGTAAAATATATCTTTTGGAACATCTGGATTTTACTTCAATGGCACAAGTGTATTTGAAGCAGGTATTAAAATACATTGTAGAAATATTTAACATGACTTCAAACTTTCTCAAACTAGTTTTAAGTAAAAAAAAAAAAAAGATCTTTTACTTAATTATAAAATAAGATGTTTTTTATACTTATTAGAAATTTGAGTACTAGTTACTTTAAGTAATTATTAAGCTTTTTAGGTGGGAATATTATTGTGGCCATGTTTTTTAAAAATCACCTTTTAGGGACCAGCAGATGGCAAAGTTGTTACGTCGCTAGACTCTGACATGGCCAATCACAGTTCAAATCCCAGACCCAGTGATTTCAAAATCCTTTTGCTTTAGCCTCTGGAGTAACTGGGACTGCAGGCATGTGTCAATGCAACTAACCTTTTGGTTGACCTAGGAATTGAACCCAGGCCTCTCATGAGTCCTCGTCACAAGGGTGAGCATAAACTACTCTAATAGAGCCCCATTTGAGAGATGAAACAGAATACACCTCAGTAGCACATATATAGGTGTGTGTAAATAAAGAAATTAGTGAATTATGGCATAAAGTGGCATATACTGTTTAAATGTCATTCAAAATATCTATTAATACCTGAAACATTTATCTTCAAAGTATCTTTAAAGATGAATGAACTGTTCATAGGACAGGCTGGAGAAAGTGACAAATCAGCTACAAAGAATGGCATGTCATCAACAGCATAATAAATTGGAAGCACTATTCAAGAAATCTAATCAGGGGCCAGACAGACAGTGGTGCAGTAATAAAATGCACTGCTCTGTGAGACTGACCCACATGGGAGGTCTGAGTTCATGTGTGCCCAAGGTCTGGGGCTAGTTGATGCTGGGGATGGGTTGTGGCACTGAGACTCTGTTGCAGTGCTGTCTCTCAGTCTGTCTCATTCATGGAAGAAATGAATGGGTAAACTTTTCTTAAAAAGGCAATAGACTTTTAAAAAATTGTCAATTATGAATAATGTCATAATAAGAAAATTCACACTGTTAAATAAAATAATGGCCACAGAACCAAAATGTTACAGATTAAAATGTTACAGATGTTTTATACAAACATGGAGGGCATTCTCTTATTTCAATCCTTCCTTCTACCCCAAAAACGAAGTGGATAATTCAGTGATTTTCTCTTTTAAAGTCTCTGCATTAAAAAAGCAAATTAGTGGGGCAGGCAGGTTGTGCAGTAGTTGAGGTGCTGGGCTCCCAAATGGACAACCATAGTTCAAGTCCTGGACCTAGTGGCTTGCTTTCTCACTTTTCCTCTCTCTCTCTCACTCACTCTCTCTCTCTCTCTGGTCAAAGTAAAAAATAATAATAATAGGGGCCAGCAGGTGGCATAGTGGTTAAGGTGCCGGACTCCCATGTGGTCAACCACAGTTCGAGTCCCAGAGCCAGAAGCTTGAAACTCACGCTGGGCACATGTGCATGCATGCCCAAAATCCCAAGAGGACAATGGAGAAGAAAGGACTGCTCTGTGACTATTCCCTGGGCGGATGGGGTGGTGCTGGTGACTTCTCACTTTCTGTCTGTGTCTCTCAGCAAGCACATGCACCCTATAGCAAAAATCTCTCTCAGGGACCAACAGATGGCATAATGGTTACATCACTGAACTCCCACACAGCCAACTGTGGTTTGAGTCCTGGACCCGGCAGCTTAAAACGCACACCGGGTGTGTGTGTGCATGGCCAAAGTTCCAAGAGGACAACAAAGGAGAAGGGATTGAGGTGTGGCCATCCCCCATGGAGGCAGATGATTTCTCACTTTCTGTCTCTCTGTCTCTGTCTCTCTGGAAAACATGCACACTCTATAGCAAATCTCTCTCTCTCAAAAAAAAGAAAAAAAACCTTCTCCAATAATAATAATACATAAAATTTAATTTAAAATTCTTTAAAAAAAAAAAAGGGAAATCAGTTTTGACCTTCTAAAAAATGTTTTGGGGGTTAGCAGGTAGCATGGCTACATGGCTCGATACCACATGGCTGACTGCGCAGTTAGAGTCCCAGACCTAGTGGCTTGAAAAATATGCCACATGCACAGAATCTTGAGAGGAGGATGAAAAGGAGATTGTGGTGTGACCGTCCCCTCTTACTTTCTTTCTCTCTCTGTCCCTGTCTCTCTCCAGTGAGCAAAGGTGTCCTACATTAAAACTTAAAGGAAAAAAGTTTTGGGACATTTGTGCAAGGTTAAGAAAATAATTCACTATACTCCCTTCTAAAGCATATAAAATTGGTCCGGGAAAAGAACCCATCTCTCTACTAACCTGGGATGATCCCCATGAGCTGAGTCCCAAACGACTCCCAGGTTATGAGTATTCACCCTGAAAGCAACAGGAGGTTTCCGCCATTCTAATGGTCATTAGCTCTGTCACTCACTTGGTCCAGGATGGCATGGGCTCCTTCACTGTGCAACTCAACTCAAATCCTACAGAAAAGACTATTAACATGGAGAAGGCACCTATTA